GACATAGATCCCCTGACGGATGTGTTGGTGCTGCCCTACTCCAGTGGGACGACTGGACTACCCAAGGGTGTCATGCTGACCCATTACAACTGTGTCTTCAACTGTATTCAGATCCAGTAGGTTGTTTGATCAGTATCTTTAAATAAACTTTTTCATTAATTTTTGTGGCATATATTTTTAAGTTGTTAAATACTTAACTCATATAATTAGGGGGACAACTGACGATGTCACAACAATTAAAAGTTAATAAAACAAATGCATGTAAATGTACGTAAGATACAAATTTTTAATTTTAATTGTGGTCTTATAAATAGTCTTATAGTATAAATTGTCTCCACTTGGTATTAGTAAAAGGGAGAAACATTTTATTTTCTGTCATTTTCTCTGGATCACTTGAATGTGTATTTCGCGAGATTAACGTTCAAGAGAGAAATCTTATCAGAAGGACCGAGAAACCCGTTTATTTTTTATATAAAGAGTTAATTTATCTGCATTTTAAAATATTAGTTTGAATTTTGAGTGAGCCCTTGTCAGAGTCTTCATTGAAAGATGAGTTTTATAAAGTGAAATGTGTCGCATTGAAGGTCTCAATCAAGTGTCTCAATCAAGTGCCTCAATCAAGTGTCTCAATCAAGTGTCTCAATCAAGTGTCTCAATCAAATGTCTCAACAACATGCCATAATAAAGTGCCTCAATCAAGTGTCTCAATCGAGTGTCTCAATCGAGTGTCTTAATCAAGTGTCTCAATCAAGTGTGTCAATCAAGTGTGTCAATCAAGTGCCTCAATCAAGTACCTCAATCAAGTGTCTCAATCGAGTGTCGCAATCAAGAGTCTCAATCAAGTGTCTCAATCAAGTGCCTCAATCAAGTGTCACAATCAAGTGTCTCAATAAAGTGTCTCAAACAAGTATCTGAATCGAGTGTCTCAATCAAGTGTCTCAATCAAGTTTCTCAATCAAGTGTCTCAATCAAGTGCCTCAATAACATACCTTAATAAAGTGCCTCAATCAAGTGTCTCAATCGAGTGCCTCAATTAAGTGTCTCAATCAAGTGTCATAATCAAGTGCCTCAATCTAGTGCCTCAATCAAATGTCTCAATCAAGTGCCTCAATCAAGTGCCTCAATCAAGTGTCTCAGTCAAGTGACTCAATCAAGTGTCTCAGTCAAGTGTCTCAATCAAGTGCCTCAATAACATGCCTTAATAAAGTGCCTCAATCAAGTGTCTCAATCAAGTGCCTCAATAACATGCCTTAATAAAGTGCCTCAATCAAGTGTCTCAATCGAGTGTCTCAATCGAGTGCCTTAATCAAGTGTCTCAATCATATGTCTCAATAAAGTGCCTCAATCAAATGTCTCAATCAAGTGTCTCAATCAAGTGTCTCAATAGAGTGCCTCAATCAAGTGTCTCAATCAAGTGTCTCAATCAAGTGTCTTAATCGAGTGTCTCAATCGAGTGTCTCAATCAAGTGTCTCAATCAAGTGGCTCAATCAAGTGCCTCAATCAAGTGCCTCAATCAAGTGCCTCAATCAAGTGTCTCAATCAAGTGTCTCAATCAAGTGTCTCAATCGAGTGTCTCTATCAAGTGCCTCAATCGAGTGCCTCATTCAAATGTCTCAATGAAGTGCCTCAATCAAGTGCCTCAATCAAGTGTCTCAATCAAGTGTCTCAATCAAATGCATCAATCAAGTGTATCAATCAAGTGTCTCAATTAAGTGTTTCAATCAAGTGTTTCAATCAAGTGCCTCTATCAAGTGCCTCAATCAAGTGGCTCAATCAAGTGTCTGAATCAAGTGTCTCAATCGAGTGCCTCAATCAAGTGCCTCAATGAAGTGTCTCAATCAAGTGTCTCAATCTAGTGTCTCAATCAAGTGCCTCAATCAAGTGCCTCAATCAAGTGTCTCAATCAATTTCCTCAATCAAGTGTCTCAATCAAGTGTCTCAATCAAGTGTCTCAATCGAGTGTCTCTATCAGGTGCCTCAATCGAGTGCCTCATTCAAATGTCTCAATCAAGTGCCTCAATCAAGTGCCTCAATCAAGTGTCTCAATCAAGTGTCTCAATCAAATGCATCAATCAAGTGTATCAATCAAGTGTCTCAATCAAGTGTTTCAATCAAGTGTTTCAATCAAGTGCCTCTATCAAGTGCCTCAATCAAGTGCCTCAATCAAGTGTCTGAATGAAGTGTCTCAATCGAGTGCCTCAATCAAGTGCCTCAATGAAGTGTCTCAATCAAGTGTCTCAATAAAGTGTCTCAATCAAACGTCTCAATCAAATGTCTCAATCAAGTGCCTGAATCAAGTGCCTCAATGAAGTGTCTCAATCAAGTGTCTCAATCAAGTATCTGAATTGAGTGTCTCAATCGAGTGTCTCAATCAAGTGTCTCAAAGAAGTTAACTGTTCATCATTTGTTCAAAGTATCAATCGCCAACACTTTTTTTTTAAACACACAAGCGCTGCTTGGTTTATCACAATAAATTACAACGTACAAGACAATTCGTCCAACCTATTCTAATTTTATTTGATAAAAAAATTAATAAAGTGGGACATCCGTGATAAATAAATGGTATTAGATGATGGTGATTAAGCAAAGGGGCATTTTAAATGGATTTAGAATTTAAAATCATTTATGCAATTGTTATCATAAAGCATTTTTGAAGAAGTGAGGGAAGTACCATGATACTAATGATATTTTTATCCAGATATCCAGATATCCAGCTCATCTTTCTAAATGTCCCAAATCTCAAAAAATATAAACTGATGAAAGGGGACATAAGTTCGGCTGTTATTATCCGGTATATTACTTCTGATGGTGTTGTCGGGATTGACCAAAAATGACGTAGACATTAGAGGGTGCTGGTTAGTAGCCCATGACGTCATCATACCGGAAACCATAATAATTATGATGGTCAATTTTTATTGATATTGAACTTCGCAAAATTCGTCTCAGTGTGCGGCACAACATTTGGGGTACACAAAAGTTATTTAACAGCCCAAACTATAAAATCTGATAGTGTAAAAAACAAAACCAATTAAAAATCAGAAGTGTTAATATATTTAAGAAAGTCCGTTTGGATGAAATGGGTAAACAATTTAGTGCACGATTCCCCCCCCCCCCCCAACATTCATGAAGCTAACCTCAATAAAACCATGTTGTAATAAAATGTGATGCTTTCTCCAAGGACCAGGCTTCAATTAACTCCTGATGACAGGTGCCTTGGTCTCCTCCCTTTGTATCACATCTATGGAATGATTGTTGTCCAATTTGCTGTTCTATACGCTGGGGCTTCTGTCATCTACCTGCCCAAGTTTGACCCGGAATCATTTCTCAGTTGTTTGCAAGACAGACAGGTCAGTTGCATCATGTTTTTATATTCCAATAAATAGTTGATATGTTCATGGTAAGAACGAGACCAAATTAGTAAATTAATAGGGGCTATAGTTTATACCCTTCCGCCATACAAAACAGATTAAACTAGATCTGCATTGACATAGATATGTGTATGTTTCACCAGCTTACGTTTTAAAAGACCGTTAATAACAATTTTATTGAATTTCATATTTTGTGGATAAATGACGTTTTTTAAATATTTAAATATAAAACTGCACTGCACTTGACATGAGACGTTAATTAATTTTATATTACACACACACACAACTCTTCATAATTTGCTTTCTGTGGTTGCAGCCAGCTAATTAATAAGTTACATAGTGTTTAAAATTATATACAATCATAACTACACAAAGTTATAGCATGGTGCACACTAGATAAATTGTGTCAGTTTGCAAAATTATCCTGTGAAGTTGTTGAACTTTTTTTTTTTTTTTTTTTTTAAATGTCAAATTAATTAATCCTCTTTTAAGGTTTTTGGTTAAGATTTCGTTACAAGACTTGCTAACAAATATTAACCATTTAAAAAATTTTTTATAACAAATCTGTGAAGTTGTTGAACTTTTTTTTTTTTTTTTTTTTTAAATGTCAAATTAATTAATCCACTTTTAAGGTCTGTGGTTAAGATCTCGTTACAAGACATGCTAACAAATGTTAACCATTTGACAAAATTTTTATAACAAAAATATTATTTACGCATTTAATTTTTTTGTTTTCAAAATTCTTGACACACAAACGAGTCCCACTCATAAAAATTCTTCGCCCTTATTTTTATAAATAAAATGGCGATTATATCCTAATCTTCTTGATTGCACATTCTCTTAAGAAGACTTCACGTTATCACCAGATGTGTTCCGTATCCCACAATTTGCTTTGAATGTTTTCACATTCCGAAACATAAGCCTGACTATTTTTTTTTATTTGTTTAAAAACGTATGGCACCACCAGTTTTCAACGTGTGCCTTGTGCAAAAAATAGTTCTATTCTAAATCCGTTGAAAACTATACAAAAGCATGTGCAGCCGTACAACTCAGCAAACGTATAAAATCTGTGAAAACAAACGGGTAAAAATATTATAATCCCTTTGTATTGCTGAATCACTCTTAGAGCACACTGCATTGAAATATACCGACTTACTACTTCTTCTAACAGATCACCCGGGCTCATCTGGTGCCGCCTCTGGTAGTGTTCCTGGCCAAGCACCCCTTGGTGGATAAATTTAATTTAAAATATCTCAAGAATGTCTACAGTGGTGCTGCACCATTGGGTCCTGAGCTGACTGAAGAATTTTTAAAGAGGCTGGATCATGGAGTTGTGCTTTCCCAAGGTAATATTCTATTTTCTTATTGTCAGCGTAGTCTATGCATAAGAAGTAGGCCTGGAATATATATAGCTCAAGGTGAATAAATATTTCATGCGTAAAAAATATTTTCTATGACCTTGACTTTGAAAACGCTTCTAATTCTAAAATGTATGTTTGCATCCCATAATGTTCATGAAAAATACAACATATTTAAATTTGTTGCTAGTAAATAAAATTCCTTAATTTATACAATTTCTTGACTTGTAAAAAAAAGTCAAACATAAATTCAATACATCTCCAGGTTTTGGTATGACAGAGACCGGTCCAGTAACCAATTTTGAGGTGAAAGGAAGACCAGGTTCAGTGAGACCCATGGTGGCAAATACTTTAGGAAAGGTGGTTCAAGAACCCATTCAAACCAACACATCTAGGCTAATTTATAAATAGCTTTACTCATTCAAATGAATATGTCTTATCTAAAATATTAGTAGTTTTACCACTAAATGTCTGAAGTTCAAAAAATGGGGCATGTCTAAATATAAACTAGCAAAGTTTGTGACCTAATTTATATATATATATATTTTTCCAATGTTATACCGAAACATTTTATTTTTAAATTCAACAGATAGTAGATGTGGAGACCAAAAAAATATTGGGACCAGGAGAATCTGGCGAAATTTTTGTCAAAGGACCACAGGTGATGAAAGGATACTACAACAATAAGCAAGCAACAGATGAGCTGATAGATCCTGAAGGCTGGTTGCATACAGGTAGCATCTTTAAATATAGCAGCTATGTTACATGCAGCTAGCATCTTTAGATATAACGGCGTTGTTGCCTGCAGGTAGATATTTTGATTAGTATTAATTTACTGAACTCAATATCTATCTTAAGTATATGGCATGAGAGGATATAAAAGACAATTGTTCCATGTTCATCACGATTACTTTTTGGCTTCCAAAGTAATAAATTTGGTTCAGGTTTCTTTCTTTCTCTTGTTCCGACCACTTGAAAACAATAACAAAGAGGCAAAGTGTTGGAGTTTTGAGGTGGGGAGATGTCAGGGAAGAGATGTCAGAGAAGAGATGTCAGAGAAGAGAGGTCAGAGAAGAGATGTCAGAGAAGAGATGTCAGAGAAGAGATGTCAGAGAAGAGATGTCAGAGAAGAGATGTCAGAGAAGAGATGTCAGAGAAGAGATGACAGATAAGAGATGTCAGAGAAGAGATGTCAGAGAGGAGATGTCAGAGAAGAAATGTCAGAGAAGAGATGTCAGAGAGGAGATGTCATAGAGGAGATGTCATAGAGGAGATGTCAGAGAAGAGAGGTCAGAGAAGAGATGTCAGAGAAGAGATGTCAGAGAAGAGATATCAGAGAAGAGATGTCAGAGAAGAGATGTCAGAGAAGAGATGTCAGAGAAGAGATGTCAGAGAAGAGATGTCAGAGAAGAAATGTCAGAGAAGAGATGTAAGAGAGGAGATGTCATAGAGGAGATGTCATAGAGGAGATGTCAGAGAGGAGATGTCAGAGAGGAGATGTCAGAGAGGAGATGTCAGAGAGGAGATGTCACAGAAGAGATGTCACAGAAGAGATGTCAGAGAAGAGATGTCAGAGAAGAGATGTCAGAGAAAAGATGTCAGAGAATAGATGTCAGAGAGGAGATGTCAGAGAAGAGATGTCAGAAAAGAGATGTCAGAGAAGAGATGTCAGAGAAGAAATGTCAGAGAAGAGATGTAAGAGAGGAGATGTCATAGAGGAGATGTCATAGAGGAGATGTCAGAGAGGAGATGTCAGAGAGGAGATGTCAGAGAGGAGATGTCAGAGAGGAGATGTCACAGAAGAGATGTCACAGAAGAGATGTCAGAGAAGAGATGTCAGAGAAGAGAGGTCAGAGAAGAGATGTCAGAGAAGAGATGTCAGAGAAGAGATGTCAGAGAAGAGATGTCAGAGAAGAGATGTCAGAGAAGAGATGTCAGAGAAGAGATGACAGAGAAGAGATGTCAGAGAAGAGATGTCAGAGAGGAGATGTCAGAGAAGAGATGTCAGAGAAGAGATGTCAGAGAGGAGATGTCAGAGAGGAGATGTCAGAGAGGAGATGTCAGAGAGGAGATGTCAGAGAGGAGATGTCAGAGAGGAGATGTCAGAGAGGAGATGTCACAGAAGAGATGTCACAGAAGAGATGTTTAGCGGAGGAAGAGGGGAGGGATGATGGTTATGAAGCCTCAGGACCAAAATTGTTAATTTTTCTTGCTACTGATATTTTTATGTTACAGGTGATTTTGGATACGTTTCACATGATGGTTTCGTCTACATACAGGACAGGCTCAAGGAATTAATCAAATACAAGGGATCCCAAGTATGATCTTTCAGTTTAGTACAAATCTATAACAGTCATAGAGCTGTACTGTATACACGTAAAACGATATTATTGATTTGGTGAATGAGCGAAAATCAAAGTTAGAAATAATTAGGCTCAGTTCATTGACAGATATTACTTCTATGCGATAAGGTTGTTTTTTTTTTCCATTTCAGTTACACCATTTAAAAGTAGGACAACAAATGCTTCTATCTGATGCTACCAAAATTGTTGCCCTCAAGACTTGATCAAATAGTTTTTAAAATATTTTTTTTTTCCTTTATAATAAAAAATAATTTAATTACATATTTAATTTAACAAAGACTCCTCAAAGTCACCTGGTTGGCCAAACCTATTTCAATATCCATCTATAATTTTATGATTGGGTCGTTAATTTCGAAATAGTTGTCAAAGTTGTAAATGTTTTTGTTTTGTTTTTGTAAACCAGGTGGCCCCAGCAGAACTGGAGGCTTTACTTCTTGGACACCCTGGCGTTCAGGATGTTGCTGTCATTGGAGTACCTGATGAAAGTTCCGGAGAACTGCCAAAAGCTTTCGTAGTTAAGAAACCTGGGTCAAAGGTCACTGAACAGGAGATCATTAAATTTGTTGAAGGTGAAGTCCTTAACTCTAATATAACTTCAGAGCTTTAAGAACAAAAATTAGAGGAATTTTTAAAATATCAATAACTTTTTTATCAATGATTCGGAAATCTTTTAATTTTAATTTTTTTAGTTCTTTTGTTGTAAATTATGTTAGATGTATAGTAGATCTTCAGTCTAATTACCTACCCGGAGGTGGAGCTGATACTGTCTTTAAGACATGATAAAACTTTATTTATATTTGTTGAATGAGATTATAAACATATTTAAACATCTTGAATTTCCAGAAAGAGTTTCCCCCATTAAAAGGCTGCGTGGTGGGGTTCAGATTGTGGATGAGATTCCCAAAACTCCAAGTGGCAAGATCTTGAGAAGAGACTTGAAAGCCAAGTATTGGTGAAAATGTAAACAGAAAAATTCATTGTATCAACAATGAATGCAGCCTGCACCGAGGCGAGAGGGAAGGAAAAGTTTATCAAGCCACTTAAAACTAAATACATAATGAGGACATGCATGCAATGAAGAATTTATTAACTGAATAATGATTAAATGGATTAGGAATACATCGCTGCAGTGACAGTTATTGGAGTTTTCGACTTTGAATCGACTAGTTGAATCGACTAGCTGGGTCATGGATGTTTAAACAGAACCAAATTTTTAAACATTTTTTGAAATCTCAGTTCATTGCTAATATTGATTGCCTATTTGTTTTGTTACAACATTTTTATGTCTATTTAAACAAAACTATGTTTGGAAATGGGATATTTTTTTGCTTGTAATTCTCATGTATTTTGATAAATGTATCCTTCATTTGTATTGTCACGCACCGTTCTTTGGTTATGAAAATGTAATCTATTTTTAGATTGGTCTCGTTAAATCAACAAAACGTAACTGTTTAAAAAAAAACACCATTATACAAAGAAACGATACGAAAGCTAGTGATGCTAGCAACGTTTAATGTAAGTTCAGACCAATGCAACACTTAGAGTGACCCTTGAGACCAATGCAACACTTACAGTGACCCTTGAGACCAATGCAACACTTACAGTGACCCTTGAGACCAATGCAACACTTACAGTGACCCTTGATGTTCTGCTGTGAATGTTATCAGGGAGAGATGCTTGTTGTACCAGCATCAGTGACCGGCAACAGGGTAGAAATTCAACTCATCGTCCTAGCTTGTGTTGTCATCTTGATACACAAAATTCACAGCTGCAGCCCCGATGAGGTCAGTGCAAGGCGAAAAGATGCCGTTTACCAATTTTAGGCAAAAATTATCCGGGTGGTTCAAGATTACGCAATGAGGAATTGTCATTTTTCAATGTGTTAATCAAAACGGTTTAGGTTTCTGTTTCAGCTGTCTCTAAAATGTAATGCCCATAGATCAGTATCACAGAGCAAGAGAACATTTGGAAAAGACATGACAGAAGTTTCACTCACTGTGTGTTCCTTCTTTCATTGTCAACCAGCGTTACTGCAGTCTCCACCATGTTATTCATTTAAAATGAAGCAACACCTTTATGCAGTTAATGTGCATTTTTTAATTTATTTATAAAATTTAATTTATTTATATAAACAAGAGCATCTTACATAGTTAATCTGTTGTTTTACAAAAATTTGTTCAGATTTTTATTGCCGCTTTAAAAGTAAAGTTAGAATTTATATTAACATTTTCTTTAAATGAAAATCTCAGAAACATTCACAATTTTTATCCCAACAACAATGTGTTTTATAACATAAGATCATTTTCTATAACCTACAGATAATTATCATGTGCACACACAAACACAGCATGGATGTCATGTAAAAAAGTCGTTTGAATTTTGTTCTTTTCTTCTTACCTGTCATCCATTCAGAAATTCATAATTTTCTATCATAGTTACAAATTTTAACCTTGTTATTTGTAAAAGGGAGAAAATGTAACTAACTTTTTTTTTGCTTGTACAATCGTGTCCTTATTTTTATAATCTCAGCGCCAGGTTGAGGTTCCAGAGGTGTTTTCCAGCTACATGCAAGTCATGCTGGGGATCAGCTCAAAAGTTTAGGAGCCAGAAATACTTATCTTAGTCAAGGAGTCTTTGCTTTACATTTAATTAAGATTATTTAGTTTTTATTTTGAAGTGACTTTGACGAGAGTCGGTTGAACAGTTTAAAATGTCTTGATACATTATGAATTTTAAGAAGTAAAGAAGATTATCCAGAGATGCTAGTCATTGAAATATTGAGATTAATATGATAATAGTTCCAAGTACCCGGTATGTTTGGAGTTTCATGAGATGTAATTCTTATTGTGATTGTGTATAATAAAATATTAGTCACTATTACTTATTTGAACCACTTCGCCTCTGTTATGATTTTTAACTAAAAATTCCAATATTTTCCGTTACTACAAATGATTCCCAGTCCAATTATTAAGAGGGTTGGACTCCGTTACATCTTTTAAATAAATTAACAATTAGACGAAAAACAAGTTTAAATGTTTTGGCTAATGCCTTCATCAGTACAACAAAAAAGATTCATAATTTTTTTATGAAATTGTATGTAATATAGGGGCAGGATACCTAAAAAATGAAAGAAATAAAAAAGAAATGAGCACAAGTCCCCCACGAAAACAAATCTCAGAAGAACAGACAGAAAATGGGGTGGCAGTAAAATTTAAAAATCAAACATGAAGCTATTTAAAAGTTTGAATTCGGCTTTAACCAGATGACCAGCGTACCAAATCTTTTTGCTCATTTTATTTCCAAATACATTTTATCACTCGCATACAATAAATATGCCAGTAACTGCAATGTCTATATATATATAATAGAAATTACCAGCCAAGTGATGGCGGCGGCCATGTGTGAGCCATCAAACCGCTTAAAGCTACTTGACAAAATATACATTCAAGTAACGAACCTTATGAGAACCCCAAGTGCTAATTTTATTTTCAGCGTTTAGGGAACACAGAGTCACAATCATACATACACATAACCAAATGAATAATTATTTTTCACGTGCATTGTTTACCATTTTAATTAAGGAGGTAGACACATTGCATTACATGAGCATTTATTCTGAGTATTGTGACATTGTTTAGCCACCATCATAAGTGACATTTAAGTAAGCATCTGTAAAAGTAAATCACTTAAACTCACACTCAACACATAACCACATATATATAGAGAGAAGAGAATCAATTTTTTTCAAAGGTCAAACATTTTGTTGTAATGAAAATGACATTTCCTCACAGCTTGTATACCTATAACATGTATATTTAAAATACAAATATGGTTAGAAAGGATACAGGGGCTATGTGCAGCAAAAAATTATTCAATGCAAGTAATAGTTAAGCAAACTATAACAAAATACAGAATAACAAGAGTTATTTATACATATTTAAATAGTCCATGTGCCCATCAGGCTACATATTGATATACAATACAAGCAGGGCTGGAACAGTGCGAGGGTTCACATCCAGCAAATAAAATAAAAATATGGGTTAGTTATTACTAATATTTCAAATACAAATAAGAAAATTATATCAATATCTGGAATGACATAGACTAAACAGTCAGTGTAACTACCTATACAATTTATATATCATTGCACAAATTTGTCCGCTCCCATGGTCGTAGTAATGAGACAGACACAACACCTTAAGTATGCCAGTAGGCTACTATACTATAAATTGACATTGATTAACACTTTTCAAGTATAGTCTTAAAGAAAAGAAAAAAAAAAGATTTGGTAGGTGATGGCGGGCGGGTGAATGCTGGAATCCATGCTGCCAAATATACTTGAAGCTAAAAAAGGGCATTCAAAATACTCTCTAACTATGTATCTATGACTGTTTAAGTGAATGCCATATTATGAGGTCTAACTATGTATCTATGACTGTTTAAGTGAATGCCATATTATGAGGTCTAACTATGTATCTATGACTGTTTAAGTGAATGTCATATTATGAGGTCTAACTATGTATCTATGACTGTTTAAGTGAATGTCATATTATGAGGTCTAACTATGTATCTATGACTGTTTAAGTGAATGCCATATTATGAGGTCTAACTATGTATCTATGACTGTTTAAGTGAATGTCATATTATGAGGTCTGACTATGTATCTATGACTGTTTAAGTGAATGTCATATTATGAGGTCAGACTATGTATCTATGACTGTTTAAGTAAATGCCATATTGAAATCAGGGAAGTTAAATAAATCCTCCTGAGTGACAGTTGGGTCTTGAATGCGTATTTAGTGAGCCGCTTCTCAAAAAATTTTTGAATGCTGGGAAGAATTTTGTCGCATATCTGAATTTAGATTTTCATCATTTTGAACTTGAAATGTGAGCAACAGAAAAAGACGCTAGTGTAAATTCAGTTTCCCTTGACCTTAATGTCATTATACAAATCATTCATTTTTAGTAATGCGGAAAAACCCCCACATAGGAACATTCAATCACTCTTGGTAGGTGATGGCGGGCGGGGGAATGCTTTTATGCAAACGTTTTTATGAAGTAGTAAAGTTATGCATCCCACTAGGAAGGGGGAGGGGGTTTATGAAAATGTCCCCAAATTAATATTTTATTTTATTCAACATAGAAGCCAGAAATGGCTATGAACACCGTCAATTATGTTGGCGTGCTGTTTTCTAAGTGTTTGCGAGAGGACAGCCGTGACCTCTGATGATTTGAGTGTCAGCCATCTTGTTTGCTGCAAGCGAGAAATGTTCATTGCGTGCGGCTAGCTGTTTTGACAACAGTGTCATGTTCAAGGAGAGCATCGAAATAAAGAACTGCGTTATTTTCGCATTTGTCACTTGTGTAATAGTGACTAGTGCGGTCGTACACGAACTTGTTTTCACTGGACAGCAAGTAGGGCTCAACAAACTCAAACTGCTCACTTAGTGAACCCTAATGATCTCGTGATGGAAACTAATAGCAGTCATTGGAATGTTGCACAAACTGTTTCCCACTTTTTTGTCTCACTATCTCTGCAAGCTACTGGTGGACATTCCACATGGTTCATTTATGTCCCATTTTATTTGTCTCACTATCTCTGCAAGCAAATGGTGAACATTCTACATGGTTTATTTATGTCCCATTTGTATGTCTCACTATCTCTGCAAGCAGATGTTGGACATTCTACAGACATGATTCATTCGTAGTCAATCATGTTCAATGAATAAGAAACTCTATAGGAACGATAGAAGTTTGGTTTAAGAAAGAGAGACGATAGACGTTTGATAAATTCTGTATTTCGATAAACTTCTATGTTCAGAAAGACACCAAAAAAAAAAAAAAATAGTTTCCAGCTTCCAGCGGCTTGGTGTTAATGCCGAGTCATGTGTCACGAGTAGCCAAGTCCAATGATGCAGCTCGCGGATCTAGTTTCAGCTATCACTTAGCATGTCCTCGCTGGATTCGTGTTTTAGTTGACTCGCGGAAACACAGGTGTTTCGCTGTTTGTATGCCACGATCAAGAATAAATGACAAGATACTTTTAATGTTGTTTACGAGTTTTAACAACATCCCTAAAGTCATGATTAGTTTAAATCTTTCTCTAAGTAAATGAAAAACATGTTGAGATTGTATTGGCTTATGGAACTGGAATTCGAATTTAAATTTGAAAGGGTATTTCATTGTACTTGAGGTCATCTTCAAGGTCACCAATGCAATAAATGGACATATAAGGACACATATTTTAAATCTTCACAGATATTTTTTTTTTTACTTAAAAAGATTTTTTTTTAAGGGAGACATTTAAAAACACTTAGAAACAATTTCTTTTTTTTTTTACGGACGTCCTAAAGCATACGCACAGAATACGCACAGAATACGCACAGAATACGCACAGAATACGCACAGAATACGCACAGAATACGCACAGAATACGCACAGAATACGCACAGAATACGCACAGAATACGCACAGAATACGCACAGGCCATTTTTTTTAATGTCAATTGTTTATAGGATGTCCGTAAATTTATTGATGGTTAGCAACCCTGATTCACCTCAAACAAAAACAACTCGGATGTTAAAGTAACTTTTTTTATACAGACCATAGGTCAGTCTCTAGGATGATACGTCAGTCTCTAAGATCATCAGTCAGTCTCTAAGAACCTCAGTCAGTCTCTAGGATGATACGTCAGTCTCTAGGATGATACGTCAGTTTCTAGGATGATACGTCAGTCTCTAAGATCATAGGTCAGTCTCTAGGATGATACGTCAGTCTCTAAGATCATCAGTCAGTCTCTAAGATGATACGTCAGTCTCTAGTATGATACGTCAGTCTCTAGGATGATACGTCAGTCTCTAGGATGATACGTCAGTCTCTAGGATGATACGTCAGTCTCTAGGATGATACGTCAGTCTCTAGGATGATACGTCAGTCTCTAAGATCATCAGTCAGTCTCTAAGATGATAAGTCAGTCTCTAGGATGATACGTCAGTCTCTAGGATGATACGTCAGTCTCTAGGATCATCAGTCAGTCTCTAAAATGATACGCCAGTCTCTAGGATGATACGTCAGTCTCTAGGATGATCAGTCAGTCTCTAAGATGATACGTCAGTCTCTAGGATGATACGTCAGTCTCTAGGATCATCAGTCAGTCTCTAAGATGATACGTCAGTCTCTAGGATGATACGTCAGTCTCTAGGATGATACGTCAGTCTCTAGGATGATACGTCAGTCTCTAGGATGATACGTCAGTCTCTAGGATGATACGTCAGTCTCTAGGATGATACGTCAGTCTCTAGGATGATACGTCAGTCTCTAAGATCATCAGTCAGTCTCTAGGATAATACGTCAGTCTCTAGGATGATACGTCAGTCTCTAGGATCATCCGTCAGTCTCTAGGATGATACGTCAGTCTCTAGGATGATACGTCAGTCTCTAGGATCATCCGTCAGTCTCTAAGATTATACGTCAGTCTCTAGGATGATACGTCAGTCTCTAGGATCATCAGTCAGTCTCTAAGATGATACTTCAGTCTCTGGGATGATACGTCAGTCTCTAGGATCATCAGTCAGTCTATAAGATGATACCTCAGTCTCTAG